TTGAGAACATAGCGAAACATTTTTTAACTAAATAACTAGAGTATGAGATTTATTTGCATTTTGCAATACAAGCAATAGTTTATGTACATAACTTTCTACCTAACTGACGATTTAAATATTGCCTGATAATTAAAAAGTTGTGTATGTTCTCGTACAAAATTCGCACGTTTTACTATGAAATATACCACATTTTTATTTACAAAAATTGAAGAATATATATGCATATATTACGCCAATTTTCGCAACTGTATATGGAAGTACTACCTTACGTAATAACGCGGTTTTCATTGATGCCTAAAAATAAAGCTGTGTCAGATTTTATTCTAAATCACGAGGCATAAAATTAAGAGTTTTGTATATTATTTTAAGTTTTTATTATAATTATGAATAAAATTTGACTTTAGAAATAAATATACGAAAAGAGATACTGACTTTGTTCCCCGTTTACCTGAAAATAGAATCTGTGAAATTCGCATCATTCTTTACGTAAAAAATGTCGTAGCAATTTTGTAAACTTTCTCCCGTCTTCTTAGCATGCCTTCGTGGTGTAGTGGTCAGCACGCTCGGCGCGTATTCAAAAGTTCCGTGGTTCGAGTCCCAGCGAGGGCATAGCACATTTTTCATGTACTTCTGCTTTAAAATAAATTAACGTCTCTACAGTGGCGCCCGAACAAAAAGGGTGGTGGATGATGATTTTCCACCACCAAAATTTGGCGACTAGGTCCCCTAATCACCAGTTGTCTTTTAAAAGGGGAAGTATATAAAGTATGTCTTCCCCCCTTCTTAGCATGCCTACATGGTGTAGTGGTGAGCACCCTCGGCGCATATTAGAGAGGACCGTGGTTCGAGTACCAAAATATGAGGTGCACATCTACATGTTATAGCAGTGCTATATGCAAAATTTCAATGTTCTGAAGCTAGTTATTTTTGAGTTATGTGAGATATGTACATACGTAAGTACGCACAGACGCCACGAAACTTTCTCTTCAAAATTCATTTTTAATCAGTTGTATAAATTTTTATGGGGGGAAAAGTGCTTTATTATATTCTTACTTACGGATGTCACGCAAAAATATCGTTAAATTGCATTCGATAGCGGTCAAAACAGATATTTTCGCTGAAATATAATGCATGAAGTTACAATACTTTCTTTTCACTTCGTACATGGAAGTAAAAATGAATAGCTAGAAAAGTAGCATTTTACATAAAAACATTGTTTGTAGTTCTTCGAAAACGTGTGAAAAGAAAATAGGCAAATCAAAAATTCAGAATGCATAAATTAAAACCTCAAATGGGCGTATTGTGATGAACACAATGTCAGATCACAGCTAATGGTGAAGATTAGGCTTACGCTCTTTCTCCCACATGCTGCCCAACCTGCTATTTGATACAATAATTCACATTTTCGATTCGGCAGTTTTAGAAATGCCCTGAAATATGTGCATGCTGCGGAAGAGTTTAAAAGCTTTCGTAAGCATATCTCAGTCATTGATGCCAATATTCGCAAGTGGAGAGCACGACGTCTAATTCATTCCAATGAGTCTACTTTGCTGAAGTTTATCTTCAAAAGACATGCTCGAGTAACACGAACATTCATGTCATGAGGAACGAATGCTTTACTATTGTTTACAGAAAATGGTCTAACACCGGTGTTCTGAGATGGGGATCTTGGTATCTCGTAGATAACATACTGTCGTTGATTAGAGATGTGGTAGCAAAATGAACATAGAACTTAAAATACCGATCAAAAACGAGATATTAAACAAAATGCGTGAAATCTAAACACCATTCTGTGACTCATAAAACAGGCAAAAAGGCTTTAAAAATGCAAAGGAAGAATGAAAAATTTGCAATATAATATACAGGGTGATCAAAAAGTCAGTATAAATTTGAAAACTTAATAAATCACGGAATAATGTAGATAGAGAGGTAAAAATTGACACACACTAGAATGACATGGGTTTTATTAGAACCAAAAAAGTTAAAATTTTAGGATTTTTTTGCAGATGGCCTCACCCCTATTGCTAGACTGTGAAGATCTCTTGCGCGTGTCGTTTGGTGATGATCGTGTGCTCATCCGCCACTTTGTCATGCTGGCTCCAGTCCCAGCCTCGTCCGTGCTATTATTGGCTTGGGTTACCTGAGTCGCAAGTGTAATCGTGTCGAACCGAATCTCTAGTATGCTGAAAGACAACATCCACGCCAATGCTCACATAACTCGGACATGCTTTACAGTGCGTTCACACATATTCCTCGATACAGCACTTGTTGGGGATAATGTGAATATTTGAGCATTTCCTGTAAAGAACATCATCTTTGCTTTGTCCTAATTATTATGCTATTATTGCTTTTCTGATAGATTGTACTTTTCTAATAAACCCCATGTTATTCTAAGTATGTTGTCAATTTTTACTCTCTAGCTACATTATTCCTGATTTTAGTTTTCAATTATACTGCTTTTTGATCACCCGTTTTTTTTAAAGTGTAATTAAAAATCATGTCTTGTTCTGCATTTTCTGAATCTTGAATTTAATTAATAATTTAGATACTTCTGTTAGTTTATAATTTTGACCACTGCTTTTTCTATGGCGTCTTTGTAATATATTCAAGTTAAATTAACGCCGAGCCCGAAGTAAAATGCCTCCGCCTCTTTTTGTAACTGAACATCTTTCATCTCGAAATTTTATTTAGAATAAAATTATAGTAAAAAAACTTATAACTTTTAATTTACCTCTTTTCATTTATAAATTTTATATTTATTACTTTAATATTTATTTTTACTACACTATCGGCCATTAAATTGCTACACCATGAAATAAGCAATTAGAAAAGATATTATTGCCGTAAAAATTAATGGCATAAGCAAATGTTTAAATTTGTAACATTTGGAGGTTTACAAGGGGTGCGGAATAATAGAAACAGCTGCACACTGCACTAAACGGCCCTTACCCATAGCGTAAATCAACTGGACTTGTAAGAAATGGGCACCCATTCCTGCTGCTCAAATCTAGCCACACATCATCACCCTATTAGCTGGAGAGGAGTGGCGGCTAGTCTTTCAGCGGCTCAGACCAATTTTTCATGGTGACACTCTGAGACATCAGCCAGTCGCGATCGAATACCCTGTGTACTAGAAGGTCAGAACGCTACGTGCAACATTGTGTTTGCTTATTTGTTCGGATATGGTGTTTGAAAGGTTGAAGATAAGGCACAACGATTGGACGTACATGTCAGAAATATACCACTGCTTCAAATACCGTCGATCCGAACTAGAGCGTGCATGTCTGTACCCAATGGCGCCAAACCATCACCCAGGTCAGGTCCCCTATGCCAATATCGAATGCAAGCAGGTGACGTGCGGTCTCCTCGGAAACTTCCACACGTATACCGCCACTAAAATATGCACTGTGAACCGGGACTCGTTTGAAAAGGCGACATTGTGCCACTCCTGTACCCAGCTTTGTCGTCTGGCGCATCAGAGTCGCCGTCTTTCTCTATGCTCCATGGTCAAGGGAAGCTGAAGTAATGGTCAGCCTGCTGATAGTCCACGCTGCTGCAAACGTCGATGCACATTACTAGCTGATACTGGGCGTGCTGTAAGCATGCCCATTTCCTGACGAATGGTCCGTGATGTGGTCGTACGGTTTTGCAGGGCTGACCTCATAATATGTCTGTCCTTTCTGGCGTTAGTCATGGGAGGGCTTTGAGATCCTGCATGTCAGTATGACCCTCAGTTATCCATCGATTCTATATTGGCATGATAGTGGTTGAATGTCGACCAGTACGACCGGCGATATCACGGAACGATAATCTACACTTTCGAGTGGCAACGAGACTTCCTCTATTGAATTTCGGAACTTCTTGGAGAGCATTTCTTCTTATTATTCGAGGCATAACACGATATTATGAGCAAACTCCAACCTTAAAAAGCACTTTCCAAATGAGAAATCCACTACGCAATTTCCTTTTATGTAGTGCTGTAGATGTCGTACCTCCCTCCTATGTCGCCTAAATGCTCTGAAATACTAATTATTTGCATATGCCAAACTCTTCTTCCTTTCATGTGACTGACGTTCGTCAGATCATTCCTTCCTGGTGTTGCAATTTTAATGGCCAACAGTGTATTTTAATAATTAATTAATTAATTTTGAGTCCAAAGGGGCAATTTGTCTAGAAGGGCTATTAACTTCCTTTTGGCATTTTGCTTGATTCACTACAAGCATTGTTTCATTTTTCAAATTGTTGCCACTAAATATTATCGTTCTGTGTTATATTTAAAGAAATTGAATAACAAAGAATCTGCATAAATTTATGTATGTTTCTCGCATTATGATAAAACAACGGTACATAGAGCAATCCAATTTTGAATAACGTAACCCTCCGCTGAATATGGGCATCTGAAAGCCTTAATTTGAAGTTTTCATTTGTTTTGATATTTATTTCATATTTTGTCAGAATTTAAAAATTATTTTATTGACAAATTCGACGATTTCAAAGTGAGGAATGGCAACAGTGTACAAATTTTTTTTTTTTTTCCTCCAGCACGTGAAACTGTCTATCGGAAATTCTAAAGGTATGCTCTTTTTAAAATTATTTTGCGATATTGCTTTTGAATTGAATTTTATGGTTTAAGTACAAAGAACATGGTATTTAATAAATAAAGGTAACACAGGAAAGTTAACAAAACGCCACTTTGGGCGTAATGTAAAATCTGAAAGCTTTCAGATTTTTTTTAAAGTTTTAATTTTTTTAATTATTAATTATTTTATTGTTCATTTTATTTATTTATTCATTCTTGTTCCTCTATCCGACGGTCTTCGATAGGGCTCCGGCACTTTTAATTTTAGAATTAAGCCTTGTATGCTTATACGAGTATTAATATATATAATAATATGTATATTTAAAAATTTGTTGCGCAGTATCAATATTCATACTTACAAAAGAATACAATATTTAAAAATTATTATTAATTCATGCATTATTTGTTATTTATTACTTAGGTCAACCGCCAGAACAGTTTAAAACAATTGTCAGTAGTTCCCACATCCACATATTGGTGAACGGCTCTCTAAATTTCCGCAGCGTGGAAGCGACGGACTCTGGGCAGTACCTCTGCGAAGCCAACAATGGAGTAGGACCCGGACTAAGTGCTGTTGTCCGGTTGACAGTGCACAGTGAGTCAGAAACTCTGCATTTCTATAACGTGTATTACTTGCTGACAGTTTCAATTAACTCCGAGAAGACATCGATTTTCACTTTGCACGAACGACTTAGTAAATCATCTTGATGAGTAGCGGTTTAGCAGTTGACGCAAGGGATATAGTTCCTAGCAGACCTAAGACAGCATTTAATGGGTCTGAAGAGTTAGAAGCTGACATTTGCATTCATTTATTTTATAACTGCTTATTCGTGTACCTCGAAGTTCTGGCTTTTATGTAAAGACACGTATATTATAGCTCTTTAATTCAGAAGAGTTTCAAAAGTGAGTTGCTAATTTTAGCTGTATAGTTCTAGAATATCAAATATCGTCAAATTAATCCCTTCATGCTGATTTAATTATAAATGCATGATAGCACCAGGGAGTTAATGTTAAAACCTAATTTTCCGCTAAGCATGATACGCTTATTTCACAATTACATTTTCCTAATGAAAATAAATGATGACTTTTCCACTGGTTTTAATTCGAAGAGACCGCCATTAACTTCCGTTTTAGCATTTCGCTCTTGGTCATAGATAATAATCTTCACATCAAGAATTTATAAATGATAAAAGTATCACTAATGTCATTAATAAATGATAAAAGCATCATTACGTAATCAAGTATTTATAAATGCAAACTTTGAGCCGAATTAAGAAAAAGTGGTGATAAATGCAATCGTATAGTGAAATTCTAATTTTCCATTATTTTGATGAGGCATTTAGAAATAAAACCCTTTGGTGCTAAAATTAAAATTCTGAACTTCACTGAATATTTTTCGATGTCTATTAACGTAAAAATGAATGTAACAGAAAATGCCTGCTTGGGAATTAAAAATTAGCAAAAGAGAACCGAATATTAGCTTTATTTTAGTTAGATTGTAGATTCCACTTGATTCACTTTTGTTTAAAAACTGGTAGAGCAGTAACTTCACAGAAGAAGGTTTAAAAAGTACACCTTTTTTATCTCTGTAAAATTTACAATGCGTCAAATCGACGCTAACAAACTATGCCTCTTCTAAGGCGGTAACCTAAATCAGATAACGAAACTAAAAATTTGAAGATATGAAGAAGTGATAGAAATAAACTACAGAGCTCAGCTAAATCCCTTTTCTTAAACCCCCGTCAAAAACTAGTGTCAGCAAGTAAATGCAATTAAGCCACGGGAACCACCAATAAATCTGGGAGCAAACGTTTGGTGATGGCAGAAGCCTAACTCTTCCTCTTTCCTACTGAAACTCGGTTTCTAAACTCTTTCTTCAGCATAGAATTTTGCATTCCTTCACGCGCGCTACCAAATTTAAATATTCTGGCACTGACAATTAGGGAATGATGGCTTATATTAAAGAATAGCAAATTAAATAAAATTGTTTATTTAAAATAAATATAAACGCCCAGAAGATATTAAAACCAACTCATAAAATCTTTATAGGGTTTCCAACTTAAATATCCCCCAACCTTTAAACAACAAATTATTCTGGCAACATATTCCTCATAGTCTTCATTTGTGTCGGATTCAAGGAATGGGCTTGAAAGGATTTCTCTGAAACGAATTCCAAACTTTTGTTGAGTGTTGCTTAATTTTAAATACGTCAAAATTATTTTAAAGAAAACACACATGGTAAAAAGTTACAAAAATTACGTTGCTTCTTACCTATTTAATTTAAATATAACATCATCAAAATAACTAAACATTTCTTTGAAATCATATGACCTTTTAGCATTAAAACAACTGAAATTTTAACCCTAAGCATCTCCTTAGCTTTTTCCTTCTAAAAATTCTTTCTGACATTCTAATGACGTGTTGCCCTAATCATTTTTCTTCTCTTTCATTCTCGTATTGCAACGTACTTATTTCTTTCAGGCGCTCCACATTTTCTTACAAAATTTCTAGTTGTGAGCACGAGAAGAGGAGAAAAAGCCGTGATAGAATGTTTCCCCGAAGGAGATCAGCCTATGTCATTTACATGGAGGAAGAATGGAGTTCCTCTAGACCTGAGCAAAGAGCATAGGTAAGTACGACTGCAAAATACGATTTCTTCTTTTTAAAGCTTATATGGAAAATGCATTACTACATGACAGCAGATTTTTAAAAAAATAAAAATAAATAAAATATTATTGACAGCCTATTCCGTTTCATTAAGCATCTGATAAGGTGATTACCTAATGCACTTATCTTATTACAGATTATGAAAATGATTTTGCTGAGATTATATTCATTGTATGAATACTTCAAAAACGATTTGCACGGATAAATATATATTGAATAACTGATCGGAGACCCATGGAAACCTTAACGTATCCTACGCTTAAAGTTTAAGTTAACTTAACTCTAAAGTTAGACTTTCAGATTAGGATATATATTTCAGTATGGCAATCTGTGTTAAAAACATGCAGAATTGAAGTTTTTACACAAAAGTTCCATTAAGAGATTTCCAGTTAGTAGGTTCACAGCTCTACTAAAATATTTTTGGTTAAAACCAGTTCGGTGATATGAAAAATTTGCTTAGACATAACTGACAAAATTAGCTGATTTAATCTACTGTAGCCCAATTAAAAGAATTGAGAAATTATTTAATTTAGTGACATTGTATATATTCTTTTACAAAAAGACACTGACTGCCATACCGAAGGGTCCGGGTTCGAATCCCCGAGAAGGCATAGATATTTGTAAATGTATAATGTCTTTGAGGCATAGGAGCACTCTAAACATGCGGCGAGCTGAAAGTTGTCTCGAGAGGTTGCCGATAGGGAAAGAGTTGTACAAGACTCTCGGACACGTCCTCCCTCCGGGGTGCTCTTTTTCAAATTCGGAGTGTGGTATTAAGCTAAATTCGGACTGTCACCTATATGGTGTTCAAGACTTTTGCCAATGGCAGGCGTATATGACTCCTTGCCACAATGTATGTCGTGGGCTTTTGCTTACTTTTGTCAGACAGGTGAGATTGGTAACAGCAGCAACAAAAACATAAAGTCACTAAAATTTTAGCATTTCTTTAAAACTCTTGCTTTTGTGATAATAATTTTCAAATGCAAAATATGTTGTTACCAAATGCACAGCCGCATTAAGAAAGGTTCCTCGCAAGGGGGGTTTAGGGTTGCCGGAAAATGGAGAGGAACGGCAGAATTTCCTTATTTGGCGCGAAATCTCCCTTTTGGCGACATTTGGAGACAAAATTTAGGATATGCCGTAGACGGATGGAGAAACTTCTAGAACGAATTCTTACCGGTTTGGACCAGAATGCTCTCGAAGGCAGCTCGAAAACTATATAAACCCTACTTGTACGTGGAGTCAGTCAGATAATAGTGGAGTCAGTCAGTGAGCGAGTGTCTCGTAGTAATGCCAAGTTGGTCGTCGAGTGCATCGAGAGAGTCTCTTCGTTATCGCGAGTTAATGCATCATTGAGTTTTATCTTAGAATGTGTTGTGCTCCGAGAACGACCAAATCCAGTCGGGAGCTGCACTCTAATGTTTCGTCGACTGTATTGCGGGTTGTAGCGTGGAGAATCTCGAGAGTACGTTAAGTCCCGAGAACAACTAAACCGAGTCGAGAGCTGTACTCTGGTGCTTTGTCGTGAAGCTGTCTCCACCATTATGATCTGAAGGCTGTGTCGCTGATTGTTTCAGCGTGCTTCTCGTAGTTTTTGACGGCTGTAAATGCGTTTTCGGAACTGTCACTCCAGATCGACGAATCCGTAGAAACGCAACAAGCGGAGTCAGAAGTTGGATTCGAACCCACGCCCTTATTCACACCAATAGCTGCGTTTCTGTAGGGGTTCGTGCAATTTGGAGCGATTGACGGCAGCACTTGAAGAATGAAAACACAATTTATTAGCCAATATTATTCACCACAGTTCCAAAAACATGTTAACAGTCGTCGAAAACTACGACAATTACGCTGAGACAACCAGCGACACAACCTTCAGGCTATCAGGCTATGATGAAGGAGACAGCTTCACGGCAAAGCACCAGAGTACAGCACCCGACTCGATTCCGTCGTTCTCGGTACTTTACGTACTCTCGAGATTCTCCACACTACAACCCGCGATGCACTTGATCATACACTAGAGTAGACCTCCCGACTCGGTTCGGTCGTTCTCGGAGTTTTCTCGATGCACTCGACGACTAACTCGGCACTACACTACGAGACAATCTATCACTGTCTGACTCGACCATTAACTGACTGACTCCATGTGCAGGTAGTGTTTATATAGCTTTTGGGCTGCCTTCGAGTACATTTTGTTCCAAACCGGTAAGAATTCGTTCTAGAAGGTTCTCCATCTGTCTATGGCATAACGCCACTTTTGTTGCTAAAAGAGCGATTTCGCGCCAAAACTTGGCATTCCTGCTTTTTCATCTCGTTTTCTGGCACCTCTTAATCCGCCTTGCTGCGACTGGACATTTCGTAACAATATCTTTTTATATACTCGCAGTTATATGCTTAACATGCGTAGCTGTGTTCATAAATGCAACAAAATTATGCTTCCTGGAAATTTGCTCAGATGGTATCACACTGGAAGACGGAGAATAGCATAATTGAAACTCTGGATCCTGAAAAACTTCTCAGGTCCAGTTTTGTTTTTTTCTAATCTGGTTTCTTTCACAGCTTCCGAACTTATGGGAGGGGTATAATGATCTCAGAATAATTGGATGCATAAATATGATTCTAAGAAGTCATTATTATCCAAGAAGTAATTTTCATGAACATCTAGTGTTAAACAATGCTGCAATAAACGGTGACGTTCAGATCTAAAAACATTTGCTCACAACGTCATTCATTATTTAAAAAAATATGTAACAGTTATATTAAATTTATAAACGCATTAATTTTAAAGTTACTTATTGTGCTAACTTTCCAAGGCTGTCACACTAATTTGCTGTGCCCAGACGTGTATGCAAATTTTAGGTACGCGAAAGTGAGATTAAATATGACAAGTACTTAACTGTAAATCATTTTACTGTAGAAACTTCAGGCGAACTGATGAACTTCGGCTGAAAGATCAGCTTGGACGTTACATATAATTCGTAAGCTATTACTGTCAGCGACTTTGAGATTTTATTGAAATATCAATATAGTTGCTGTTGTGAATATTTCAGGTGTTTACGAGTGTGGGCAGGCATTGAATTTTGCAAACTGTAGAGAAAGTTAGCTTATTTCGAATTCTGTATCCCAAGTGTTGCGACTTTTATTTTGTACCCCATCATTTGTTTGAATCACAGTTCGTGGGGTTAATTAAAATTTAGCATTTCATAAGTCTTATTTCTCATATAGAAGATAATTCACCTTGATGAGTAAATATACCTATTGATTAGATAACCCAGGAAACGTCAGTAATAAATAGACAAAAAGTATTAGAAAAATGTGAAAGCTTTCAGAATTTATAGTACTCCCAAAGGAGTGCTTTTACACCATTTTTGCGTATTTCCTTTATTTATTAAATATCATGTTTTTAGCACTTAAACCACATAAAATTCAGTTCAAGAGCAATATCAAGAAATGTTTAAAAACAGCATTGTCTTTAGAATTTACGACAGACAGTATGGCGCGGTGGAGATAAAAATGTTTTTTTTTTTTTTTTTTTTTTTTTTTTTTTTTTTTTTTTTTTTTTTCGTACAGTCTTGCTGCTGTTGAGAAATCGTTGAGTTTTCTTAATCAAAAATTCGTTAAAGGTTCTCAAAATATGAAATACGTAATAAAACAAATTCTAAATTCAAAATTCGCCCTTCCAGGAGCCCATATTCGGGTGAAGGATTGCGTTATTAAAATTTTAATGTCTCTAGGTACCTTAACGTCTCTAGGTTCTCACAATGCGAGAAACATACATACATTCATGAAGATTCTTCATTACTTATTTTCTTTAAATATAATACAGGGTCATGATATTTGGTGGCAATGATTTGAAAAGTGATTCGCCATTCATAGTGAAACGCTACAAAATGCCGTTTTGAGACTAATAGTGCTTCTAAGGTACCGCCCCTTTGGGAGAAAAACGTTTTGTAAGACATCTTGCTAATAAACCTGAACATTGATATGATAAAATTAGAAAAGAGTGGAAAAAAGAAGAGAGAAAAATGTATATCAACTCTTAACTCTACATCGGGAGTTCTTACTGCGACTGGACATTTTGTTTTTAAAATTTTCGCATTTTTGATGTTGAACTGTATATGGCGTATGTAGGAAGAAAATACCTAATAATAAAGCTAAAAAGACAAAAAAAAAAAAAGTGTTTTAGTAAATTTGAGCTTAACAACAGCATGGTAGACTCTGAGCTCAGCGAGAGCTTAGAAAACCTTAACAAACCCTTTCGAGCGGCCGTTAAAAGCTGAAACCCTTCAGTTTTTTTTTTTTTTTTTTTTTTGGTCCTTTTTGTTGTTGCTGTTTTGAAAGGTTGCTATGAGTTCGCAGGTTGCAATGTAAGAATCAGTCTCATATAAATTTAATTTAAATTGATTTTCTTTCCATTGAACAAATGAAGAAATTCCCTGACTATGCTGTATTACTAGTGAGAAGTAAATTTGGATACATTCTGGTTTCAAATAGTCTCTTTTCATATGTTTTAAAACGTTATTATTCACCTTACAGCGCCAAAAATCTGAGCAAAATGCTTTTAAAAATTTAGAATTTCATACTGAAATTTTGGTTTTCTTATTCAGCAGTTTCTGATTTTTGATAATTAAATTATTTTGCACTTTTAAATTTCCGACATAGTCTAAAGGAAATTAGAAAGAATCTTCGTCTTTAATATACTGTTTTTATTTTTCTGTCACAAAATATTTATTTTGACTCTCATTATGGTGCTGAATTATTTATATTCGGTGCTGCATCAAAGTACTAGGATCTGATCATAAATTTATCCCTAAAGAAAACATCTTGTTCATTCGTATGCTTTCGGAAAGACAATAGTGCGGAATATTCTTTTCGATCCACGTAGGGACATTTTCTGTTATGATGTGAAGCGTTTTGCTCACTTATTGTTTTAGAATATTCCAGCAATAACTTCGGTGAAATGTT